CATGATTACAGCTGTAATCAAAATTTTTTAAAATTGTAATCATGATTACAAGTAATTGATTACTATAATCAAAAAATGTAATCGATTACAGATTTGGCTTTATTTCGCTATTCTGGCGCACACGCTTAAAATGTTTATGCGACAGTCGATCTTGAACTGATAGGAGGGCAGTTAATCTAAGGCAAGTGTGTGAGATAATTATGGGGTTAAATGCAGGTACGAACGGCCGGGGAACGGTAGAGCCGTACCCTTTCCTGAAAACTTCTTTCAAAATTAAGGCAGACTTTAAGGTATTCCACAACACAGTGATATAAAGTATAAAGATACGTATGTTTGTATTGATTTCTATGTAGAGATTTGTTTCTTTAAAATTTCCTAATCATTATTCATGTTTGTTCCAAACTGTCTATTAAACAACATTGAATTGAGGGTAGGATTTGTATGCTTTCCAGCCAGTATAACGCATCAATTGTAAATAAGGAAAACAAAAATGTAAATAGTAGTGTAACCAAGTGTATTTCCATGCACACAGCTTAATAGCCAACATGAGTTTGAAGTGAATATTAATCGGCTATGTCTTATTCAAACACCTTTGATTTGCTCATTGCTGTCAGGCTAACAATTGACCTCCATTTTAATTTTGCCATTACATAAAGCAAAATATATTTAGTTTAATTCATATTTCTAATAAGTATGTTAATTCCAAGTGTATTTTTCTGAGTTTCAACTGTTTTGAATTAAAAAAGATAATCGAGTTTTAGTTATATTCTTCTTAAATAATTCAAATGTTGTTTAGTTTTACTTACAAAGAAATGTCCTTCGTGTTTTAGGAAAATTTTAATCAAAATTGTTTATTTTGCTTAATGAGAGGGGAAAAGAATAACAAATTTTAAATAACTTATAATGCAAATGATTGACCACACAAAATAAAACTATTTGACCCTTTGCTTTTTAATATCACTTGGAAACAATCATCTCACAAACAGTATTTCAATGGATAATGTGGTGATCGTCCATGCCAAACTGACCATGGAGTTAGAACAGTAGTAATAGATCTTTTAGCCATAGTTACAAGTTTACACGGCCTAGATCACCCCCCAGTATTATATTTGAGATAAAATTTGCTGAATAAATATTTGTGATTCAATAACTTTTAGTATTAAATGCAGGGTTCGTTGATTTAAATCAGCTTGATAAGCGTGAATTAAAATCTGCATCATATTTCATTGGTAGAAAATGTATATTTCTGAAGCTTGAGTTTATATTAAAAAGAAATTACCGTAATAAGCCAAAAACAGAAAGAAAAAAAAGGGCTGATGAATTCGGATGTTTTTTTCCTAAAATATAGTGTCATTCTTCGCTTTCAAACTCTTTCAAAGTCTATTTGATGCAGTAGGGTTATCAACTGGTATTTTTTTCTCATAATATGTTTACAGTATCTTCGACATTATCTGATTTTCTATAAAGAAATTTTGTGAAAAAAAATTCCAATGAGTACATAGATTTTATAATTTTTTTTTTTAGCTTAACTTATCTATTTTGATATAGAATTAAAAATGAATGATTTTAATATAAAAATTTATAGATTAAATATTTATTTATTTTTTGATGAATTTTATGAACACAGTCTGCTACATTTATTTAGTCATTTTAAAAATCAAGAGAAAAAAAAGAGAAATCACAATTTTAAATTAAAGTTATGGTTTGCTAACTGAAACTTTGTTTTAATATTTAAAGTACAGGGGTCTGTCCAAGCCAAATTTGCTACTGTTTAACAGTACTTTTACAAATTCAACTTTATTAAAAATGATAGAATAATCGCACAAAATACTTTTTCTTAAAAAAAATTTTTTGTGTCTCGTAAGAAACGATAAATTCATATTTTTACTATATTTGTGTTGATTTTTTAACATAATTTTTAATTTTCACAAAATAGGTACCTCTCAGAAAAACTCAGACAGACCCCTGAAGTATTCTTTAAATTCTCTATTTCATCTAGTCTTTAAATTTTAATCCTGCATTTGTTTCAAAATGGTTGCTATGCATTCAAAGCAATGTATTATAATGAAAAATTATTTTAGTTAGAGCTTCTAAAATATTGTTACAATATAGTTTTAATATTAAGTTAATTTGATCAAACATTTATAATTTTTTTAATCATAAATTAAAGTTCTTACAGTGTATTTAAATAAAAATCGAAAAAATCTGATTTAAATCAAAAAAATCCGATTTAAATCAAAAAAATCTGATTCTTTTGATTTTTTTCAAAGAAATCAAAAAAATCACGAACCCTGATTAAATGTGTGACTGAACATTATATATATTTTCTATAATTTATTTATTCGATTTACATTTTAACGTGAATAAAACTGATTCTCATACAATTAGCCATTATTTAACTGAGAAAAGCTTTAAACACTAATGTCAATAACCTGAAATAGGATCACGACAGGATTTTTTTTTTCATTTAAAATGTTATTTTGAGAGACACTCGTGTACAAAAAATATTTTTTGTCTTAACTCTGCTTTAATGACTTAAAAAACACAAAAAATACAAGATCTTTAGTGATGAATTATATTTAATGATATTAATTTTAATATATGTACAGTATTTTGATGGCTGCATAGTAAGTTTATTAGAGTAGCAAAAACAGTATAAATAACATGTAAAAAGTAAACAACATGATACAACATTAATAATAGGGCGATTCTAGCGGAACCTGCAATTTTCTAAATAAAAATGGAATAAATGAATCATCTTCTATCTTCCAAAAAAGTCTATTCCGCCATGGTTAAAATTATAATGCCTATTATAAAAACTGTTATACATATTTCTAAAAATTTGTAATTATCAAAGCATTTTATAGAATGAAAATCTGACCAATAGATCCAAAGGTGCTCCTTTTTTTCCTATACCAGTCTTAAAATTAGATTTTATGTAAAGCAGTTGAATTTACAAGTCTGCAGCAACTTTTAGTCTACTACTTCTTGGCGTATGCATAAATCAAATTGAATAAATTAACAAAATTTCGGTTTCTGAAAAGGAAATATTATAAAATATTAGAGTTATCAGAGAAATATAATTGGTAATTCTTAAATTTGGTAACTTTATTTTGAACTTTAGAGTTCGCTGAGAAATGCAAATGCTTTTAGTAATTCATTCAGTATATTGTTATTGGAAAAAAATATAATGATACATTTTGAAATTCGTTCTTTCTCTTTTTTTTTATTAGGGAATTATTTAATTTAAATTATTTCATAATAATAACCAAATTAATAAAATTATCGGTTGAATGCAAACCTATTGCAGGTTTCAAAAATTATTTTTATTTATGAAAAAAAGTGCGCAACTCTCCGGAATCCCTGTGACCCTTCCACTGAATAGCAGGGTTCCACGAAACATCTTTTGGAAACAGCTGCTAAAGAAATCACTTCAGTGTGCATGGAGATTAAAGACTTGTGGCCCACTGCTTTCAATAAACATTTGCGCATCTGCATAGCTGCTAGCGATTTGCTAATTATATTTGAATTTTGCTATTTTAATAAATAATTTACAAATAAATAATTAAATTTATTTATTAGTACATTTGCAATTATTATTATTTGTGATTATTTTTTAATAACGTTCTCTTTAAAATTATTTGTCCGTTTTTTTTCCCAGACCCTGTAAGCAAATTTATTTAAAGTCAGTGGAACCGAAAGATAATTTAATTCGAGTACAATTAATAGTAAAATTTATTTTACATGAGTAATAATAATTAATAGAAATTATGCCGATAGCCTGCTAAACAAATAAAACGAGAAATTAAAAAAAAAAAAAAAAGAATCGTTTCATTTTTTTTCTTATTTTAATTACAATTTTTTAAATACTGTAACAGAAAAAAAAGTTTCACCTAAAGAAATTTTGCTAAAAAAAAAAAAAAAAAAAAAAAAAAAANAATTAAAAAAAAAAAAAAAAAAAGGCAAACTAATATACGAACGGTGATTACGCGGACAACTGTAAATTAAGCAGTTTTCCACATTCTTGGGCAATTTGTAGGGTTTTGCACATGATATAAAAAAAAGTAAAATTATTAAAATTATCTATAGAATATTTCACGATTTCATACTCCCGACAATTTCAAATGAAGAAACATAGTTTAACAAACAGAGAATAATTAGATATAAAAATAATAATATTTACCCGCTCCATGATTCCATCAAATATCCACCACTCTCTATAGATATGCACTCTGTCTTTCCAAATTTTATTAATGGAGTAAAAGTTTCAATTTTTTCATATATAAAACAATAAAATGAATGGTAAGATCTGCTGTCAAATTTTTTCCATAATACAAATATATCTATTTTACGGTCGTTTGTTGCTCTAAATATATCTTCTAACAATGAAACATCATCGATAGTCCGAACCGATCTACGATAATATCCAGGTGTGCTTAACAATCTCAACAGTTCGAGGAATACACTCTGGTGAACGCGAAATTTAGTTGAAAGCCTTAAAAGTTCTTGAATTTTCATATCAACAGGAAGGCTATTGTAAAGTCGAGCGCTATTCACGTTTTCAATCGCTTTTACATAAAACTTCAGAGCAGACGATAAATACCGACAGCATTGGTTTTCTTCGTGGAATTCAATTAGAAGGCGGCCACACCAAACTAATCGCTTGTAAGGTGACATAGCTCTAAAAATCTTTTGCAATTTAATCTTTTCGTTCGAAAACAACTTTTCCCCTTTAGTTGATGAAGGATAATCACTCCTTGCTGGTACCATTATAGTTTCTATTTGAAAAGAATCATCCCTAAAAGACCCTCGTAATCCTAAACTACTTACAAGACGATTAATTTTTCTAATATCTTCGTTATCTTTTGAAAAAGCAGTATCCTCTTTTTCAAGCCCGCAAAGGCAAATCATTCCATTTGGTTCATTTTCTTTCAGTTGTAAAGCTTTGAAAACAAGCAAGAAATCGCTATAGTCCACGCTTGTGGTAGCCATTATACAAATAAATGTTCAAAGGAAAAAAATTTTAAACAGGCTTTGAAATTTCAATTTGGAACTACTTTTATAATTGCTACAAATTTTTACTTCTTGAAAGAAACCATCAGATGACTGGATACCCGTATTTCAAGTTTTAAGAAACTCGTTTATTATTATTTGAACCACATGAATGGAAATATGACTTTAGTTTGACATAGTCAGTGTGTTCGATTCTTGGAAGAAATGTATTGCCTTCAAGATATGAAATGAATGGTCAGCTCTACCCTCGCCCCTTAAAATTAGTAGTAAATCACGATGAGCGCTTAAAAGTAACACCTGCCTGAATAACCTGTTTGAAAGAATACTAGAACCAAAGAATACAAAGGTGAGAAGAAGTAAAGCAAGGGAGAAATCGTTACTCCGTCTCTGGGATGTCGAAGCAATGCACAACATCCTACTCAAAATTGCGCATGCTCAGTTTGAGAATTCACTCACCCACTCACCTTCATATAGTCCAGTGATTCTCAACCTTTTTTTGGTTGCGGCACACATTTAACGATTTCAAAATTTGGCGGCACACAACGAAAAAGATAAGTCTAAAAGTTGTTTACTTTCTTATAATACTGTCGAGAAACTGCGACGAACAATCTAACTTTAAAATTTTAACTGTAACTGTAGCGAGGCGGAAGTTTTGTAAACAGAAGGGGAATGATCGCCTCAGAGAGAAGAGGTTGATATGTTATGCTCATTTCAAAAAAGCTTAATGTTTCGTTATCAATTATGTTTCTTGTTACGTTTTGTGTTAAATATTAAATGTTTTAAAAAGAAATAGTTAATTCCTTTAATGGCAGAACTTGTTACTTTTTATTATTGACATCTTTTTATTTTTACAAGAGTAGCGATCCTTTTTAAAGCGAAAGAAAAGCTTTCCATCTTCTCACCGGGAAAATTGAAGAACAACAGAAATTGCAGGTAAGGTAATTTTGCCTTTACCTTTAATTAAGAATTATTATTTAATTGAGCTTGAGTTGATTGATAAATAATTTTTTACAAATACACTGTGAAAAATAGTTTATGATAATAATTTAGAATGTAAAATAAAATAATATAATATGTAACAAAAGCAACGTTTGTTAAGGGATTAATTACAAATGAGTAATACTTTTAATGAGAAATTTGAGCTTGATGTTTTTTGATTATGTCATTGATATTTGGTCGCAAAAATGCTACTCTCATATCTGCTTCTACATTTAACACTCTCGATCTTTTTTTCGTGTTTATGTTGGTTAATACTGAAAATCCGAATCCACACAAATAAGATGTAGAAAATTGTAATAATATTTTTAAAGCTTTTTTTGGTTATCATAGGATAATAGCATCTAATGTAATCCAAAATTAATGAATTAATTCTTCCGAATATTTAAAAATTAAATCTCGATTGCTAGAGAACGAAATTAGTTCTTCCTCTTCATTCTAAGTTAATTCAAATACATATATATATATATATATATATATACAGGGTAACAAAAAAGTATAGGGATCATTTTTGAATGTTAATATTTCCAAAATTTGTAACATAAATTCAGCGATGCGTCTCAATATGTCGACCTCCAGCATAATAGATTTGTCTACAACGCTTCGGCCAGGATTTTAAGGTAGACGGAAAAAAAGGTCCCGGAA